CTCAGAAGGGCTCTGTTTCCCCCGGATCTGGGTTTTAGTTTGCACTAAACTTTGGGGAAGGGCGAGGGAGCTGGCCCCTTCGCCGTGGAATTCACGGGGCGAGCGCGACGTTTGTCAGCGTCGCACGCAGCCGGGGACTTTGGGCCTCCAGTGCCCCATCCCGGTGCTGGCGGGGGCGGCATCTGTCTGTCGTGGGCAGAAACAATGGCGAGAGCTGGAGGGCCGAATGCGCAGTGGGGATGAGCGGGGCGCAGCTGCCTCTGCAGCAAGGGGAGGCCCCTCCCGAGCCCCGCTCTACCGGGAGGAGAGCGAGCGAGCGAGCCAGCGTGACAGCCGCAGCACCTGTCCCGGATCCCCATCTAATTAGGGGTTGGTGGACGGACGGATGAATGAATGAATGGGAGCATCGGGGGAGGGCGGTGGGCTACTAGCCCAGCGAATTACCTCCTGTTAAAGCCATTCAGACAATTCGCCGTTGAACCACCATCTGGGACTCGAGTGGGCCAGATGATGATGACAATGCTGGAAATGGGGGAGAGGGTGGAAAAATGGGGGAGTTGCCAGACAGGTCTCTTGGATATGCTCCCAGGCTTTGAGTTGCCTGGGAACAAAGATACTGCTTCTAGTTTTTATTCTTGGCCTTGGACTTGTTTTGTGCTGTTCTATAGTTCAGTCTGAGAATTTCTGCACTTATATTGGAATAATACTCTAAAGATGAACCTTGCTGCAGAATTTACACTATAAGGAAATGATGGTGCAGTTGCATCACTTGGATGAAATAATGTGTTGCTAGTCTTTGAAATCACTTTTAGTGTGTGTGGGGGGTGTTAGTGTAGTGCATCAATTTGAAGTGAAGTTTCATTTTAAAATGTATTTGATGCCAGGCAGTGGTGGGCACACCTTTGATCCCAGCACTCCGAAGGCAGAGGCGAGCGGATTTCTGAGTTCGAGGCCAGCCCGGTTTACAGAGTGAATTCCAGTACAGCCAGGGCTACAAAGAGAAACCCTATCTACAAAAACAAAAAATGTATTTATGCCCCTTAAATAAGATTTTAAGTGGTCTTTTGAACTTGTAGAGTTGTTTAACTGGATTGTTGGATTTCTGCTTGAAGTCTGGACACCAAAAACATTGAAGGAAATTATTTGTAAATGTACAATTCACCCCAGAGAGATGCACTTGCTTGCCTAAGCTTTGCAGATTCTGCTCTGCGGTAACTTGAGTCACACATTTCCACAATAGGTGTCATTTCTATTTACAAGTCCTAAAGAGAACTTAAAACCCAAATGAAATTAATTTTTGAGTTTCTGTCTTTCAATTAAAATTTAAATATAGGCATGAATAAGATAACACCTACGATATGAAATAAGTGGTATTTTCGTTCATCAGAGGAGAAAACTGCGTCTTCTGGATAGAGCATGTGACAGAAGTGTGATCTGTTTCCATAATAAGCCTTTTCCACACATCTTGGCCTGTCATTTTTTTAAGTTTGACGATTTTACATATTGAAAAATATCAATAGTTTGTTTTTCTCAGTCGTATTCACTCATTTTCTTTTCTATTAATGTTGTAGTTAATTTTATTGTCTTTTTAAGACTATTACCTTCAGTCTGCTTTCCACTGTGTTAGCTGAATGTAGAATTAGAATTAAGTTTGAGTTTTGGACACTTGCCTAATGTATCTGATGACCTTAAGTAGTTTTTGCAGTTAGAAAAAGAAGACACTAAATTATGAAAGTAATGTCTGCAGTTGGAAAGCACATATTATTGTAGGGTGTGCTTTACCTCTAATGTGTGCTGACAGGGATTTTGTAAGTTAAACTAGGTTGGAGGTTTTGTATTTCCTTGTAGCATTTAAATGTCAGGACGAATGCATTTTTTTTTTGTTTTGTTTTGTTTTGTTTTGTTTTTCGAGACAGGGTTTCTCTGTGTAGCTTTGAAGCCTATCTTGGCACTTGCTCTGGAGACCAGGCTGGCCTCAAACTCACAGAGACCGGCCTGCCTCTGCCTCCCGAGTGCTGGGATTAAAGGCGTTTTTTTTTAGATTTTATCTATCTATTATGTATATATATAATATATATATATTATATATATTAATTATGTATAGATAGTTAACAGTCTTCTGCCTGCATGCCAGCAGAGGGCACCAGATCTCATTCAAGGTGGTTGTGAGCCACCATGTGATTGCCGGGAATTGAACTCAGGACCTCTGGAAGAACAGTCAGTGCTCTTAACCGCTGAGCCATCTTTCCAGCCCGACGAATGCATTTTTAAGAATAGTATATTTATTACGAACTAGGAGTCAGACTGAGAATATTCAATTTAAGCTCCTTTTTTGGACAGTGTTCTAGATAGTGTAAATTAGTGACTAATGCTGCCTTCCATGTGTACATTTGTGTAATAGCACACTACATAGATGAAATTTTATGATAAAAATGGAACTTTGTTCACATTAATGTTATGTAATTTGCATTTATAATTTTTTAATAGGTACTTATTTTCCCATATGACTTGTATAGAAAGTAATTGTTCTTTAGGGTATTATTTGATAATATTTTAATCATGCCAGTAGTTTATAATTGGCAAAAGTGATTATCCCCATTTTATCCTTCTCAGGTTTCATGTCAGGTTATGTGATAGCCTTTAGATACCTAGGGATTTTGGAGTAAGAACATTTTATTTAGTTGACAATTCTTAAATCATTCAATTTCTCTTCCTACCAGGAAGTATTTGATGATGCATCACCTGGGAAGCAAAAAGAAATCCAAGAACCAGATCCAACTTATGAAGAAAAAATGGTATGTTCTATAAATGTAAATAGCATTTATAATTAAACTTTTTTAAAAAAAAGATTTGTAAGTATTTATTAGTTTACATATCAGGTGTCTCTAATTGTGCTGTAAAACTTAAAAAAATATTCTTTGTTACTCTTTTTTAGATGAACATAACTTTAAGGCACTTTTACCCACTATGGTTTAGAATCTGATACTAATACTGTACTAAAAAATACAATTGTAGTCCTGTGTCTAAAGTTCATTTCATTGTTGCTGGTCTCACATGTATGTATCATTCCCTGAAAATCTTTACCCTGAGAGACTATTCTCTCTCTCTTTTTTTTTTTTTAACAAATTTTTAAAGATTTATTTATTATGTAAACAGTGTTCTGCTTGTATGAATTCCTGCAGGCCAGTAGAGGGCACCAGATCTCATTGCAGATGGTTGTGAGCCACCATATGGTTGCTGGGAATTGAACTCCGGACCTCTGGAAGAACAGTCAGTGCTCTTAACCACTGAGCCATCTCTCCAGCCCATGAGACTGTTCTCTTTTTAAGAAAAAATAATTATCACAATTGGTTTTATTAAATTAAAGGTGTGTGCTACCAAATCTAACTTGTTTCTCTTTGTGTAAGTAAATTATCATGTCTTTAAAGTATCAGTTACTGAAGGACTTGAGACTTTGTTATTTTCTCTTTTTTTTTCTGAGACCGGGTGTCTCTGTGTAGCTTTGGAGCCTGTCCTGGCACTCGCTCTGGAGACCAGGCTGGCCAATGCCGGCTAAGATTTTATAAGAAACAAGTTTCTTAATAAATTCATTCTCTTGATGTGATAACAGGATATATTCAAAGGGATAGCTAATAAATATGAAAGAAATATTATTACATGACATTCGGTTGAAGAGTATTTATTGATAAGTGAATTACAGACCTGGTACCAATTTAAAATTTGGCATCAGGTTGAGTAACCAGTGTTTTCTTCTTCTGAATGCATTCCCTTGTACAATGTTTTGTTTTTTATGTTGAATTTGAAAGTCTTGTTCCTGCCATCTTATTAAAGGATAATAAACGTAAAATTTTGGAAATATATAAATTCATTTAAGTATTTTTGTAAGCAGGATGTAGAGTATTTTCTATCGATCATTTCTGCCCTCAACCCATTATCTCGTTTCATCTTTATGTCACTAACTAGTACTTCATATATTCATATATCCAACTTGATAAAATGCTTCCAAGAGCCAGAGTCACCTGTGTTGCTTTTCTGGCTTTTCTGGCTTATTTCAGTTATTTGTTCATTTTTATTCTTGAGTTTGTCATGCAGGCATGGGGAAATTGATTTCTAAACCTTAATAAAATGTGTCTTAAATTTTGCAGCAAACTGACCGAGCAAATAGATTTGAGTATTTATTAAAGCAGACAGAGCTGTTTGCACATTTCATTCAGCCTGCTGCTCAGAAGACTCCAACCTCACCTTTAAAGATGAAACCAGGGCGCCCACGGGTAAAAAAAGATGAAAAACAGAATTTGCTATCAGTTGGCGAGTGAGTAGTTTATATTTCATAGTTTAAACTAAACTTGTTTTCTAAATTCTTTTGGGAGGGTGTAGAGACAGGGTTTCTCTGTGTAGCTCTGGCTTTCCTGGAACTCACTCTGTAGACCAGGCTGGCCTCAAACTCAGATCTGCCTGCCTCTGCCTCCCAAGTGCTGGGCCTAAAGACATGCGCTACCATCACCGGGTTTAAATTCTATTTTTTTAAGGTTTTTAATTTATCTTCTGTAGTTTCACAGATATGGCCAGCAGTGTCTTAAGTATCTCAAAAATAAATACAATGACTTTTATACCGTATGTGCTCTATGAATTGTAACAGCGGTGTTGTTCATGGAATTAAGATGTTAACCTGTTTCTTAGAGAGGTAAAAATTGCAGAGGCTAAGTGTGTTAGTTACTGTTAAATAGAAATACATAGTCCCAACTTGAACTTGAATCAGATTTATGTTTTTGTTTTCCAAAAAATAGGTACATTGAGGATATATAATTTTTTTGTGTTGCTACTGGAGATTGAACCAAGGGGGGGCCTCATGCTTGCTGGATGAGCATTTTATCACTGACTTTTAAAATCTACCCATCTTTTTTCACTTTTTGAAATTTTGAGACAGGCTTTTACTGAGTTGTCAGAGTTGGCCTCAAATAGAACTTATGGACTTAAGGTCCTTCTCTGTCAGCACTCTAAGTAGTTAGAATTGCAAGTCTGTAATACCAGCCATGGTAATAAGGGTGGTTTTCGGCTTACTCTGCTTTTCAACTTTTTATTTTATTTATTTTCTTAATGTTTGGGGTACGCTGGCTCTAACCAGGACTTGTACTTAGATTAGATAAGTGCTCCACCATTGAGCTACATCTGTGGCGGTGGCTTAACTGTTAAGATTGTTGTGATGTCATCATTTGTCTACTGGGTTGACATAAGAGTCATTATTAGTTGATTTTTCTTTTATTTTGACAGCTACCGACACCGTAGAACAGAGCAAGAGGAGGATGAAGAGCTATTAACAGAAAGCTCCAAAGCAACTAATGTCTGTACTCGGTTTGAAGATTCTCCCTCATGTATGTTAAATTCATTGAATCATTTGGTTTTCAAAGGCTCTTCCTTTGAGACATCTTTCTTTGACATTTGAATTTGCTTTTTCTATAATTTACAAAGGGAATTCTTAGGAATCTGGATAGTTAGAGGCTGTGAATAAGTTAGGTGTTTTTGATCTGAGATGTTAATATCTTGACTGGCGTTATAGCTGTAGAGTACAAAGCCTTGGCTTTGATCCCTAGAGCTAGAACTGAGAGATGATAGTATGTGCTGTACTTCAGAAGTATATGAAAATGCCATTTAATTTATTATGGTTCTAAGGTACATGTAAAATGGAGTGATTTTGCCTCTTATTTTTCCCAAACAAGAAAACTACTTTGTAAAAGAGTGGGGGAAAAAAAAATCAAGAAAACATTAATTTGCTGGTGTTTTCACGTGAATTTATCATTTTTGTGAAATGTATTCGTGGTTTTCTATGAGAAAACATTTAGCCAGGTTACTTATAATTATACATATGTTGATTTGTGATAGGGTAGAAGCTTCTGTCATCTTCACTGCAACTTAGCTTTCCTATGAGTATTTAGTGTGAACACTAACAGGTTTTGGTTGGGCTCTTGCTTAGTTAGAATGTTAAGGCACTCACTCACTCACTCTTTCCCTTTTCCCCCCTTGCCTTACAAAGCACCCACTTTCTGTTTCTCTACACATTAAGCTAGAGGCTAGAGGATCATTTCTGACACGATGGAAAGGACATTCATTCATCAATTGTAAGAGTGTACCCAGTTCTTATTAGCTTTTCATTCTTAAGCAGTGATTTATCCAGGGAAGTAAAACAAGTAATACGTACTGAAAGACATAAGATCTATCAGAAAAAGAACTTAAGAGATAGAAAGGGTGGAGTTGGAGAAGGAATTCTCTGTCTTCGTTCTACTGTCAATAGGAGGAAAAGAAAGTCTTCACAGAGAACAGAGACCACTAGCTGTTGGGGGTGGGGCCGAGACAGGGTTTTTCTGTGTAACAGTCCTGGCTATCCTGGAACTCACTTTGTAGACCAGGCTGGTCTTGAACTCACAGAGATTCACCTTCCTCTGCCTCCTGGTGCTGCTGGGATTAAAGGTGTGCACCACCATGACCCAGCTCAGTATCTGATCTTTTTTATGAAGGATAAAAACACTTGGTTACAAACATTGTACTGACATTAAAAGGAAGTGAAGAGGCTAGAGATGCTCATAAGAAGGCCAGTGTAGTGTGTTTTTAACATTGGGCTGAGTGGTTTGGATGAGGATTCGGATGCTAACAGTCACAGTTCTGCACTTCAGTATCAGTTGTTTGTATCCAGCTACCCCTGCTTCAGTCCAGACTTCAGAGGCTACTTTTAATGATTTTAACCTTTCAGAATCCCCATAGTACATTATCTTCTAGAAAAGAGTAGTAGACACTCGTAGGTCCCAGTTCCTGGGGCCTGGCCTATCTTGTATTTCTTATGTTTAAATTGAACATTGTGTTTTGTTGTTGTTCTTAGATGTAAAATGGGGTAAATTGAGAGATTATCAGGTCCGGGGATTGAATTGGCTCATCTCTCTGTATGAAAATGGCATCAATGGTATCCTTGCAGATGAAATGGTATGTATTTGCTTATCTTGAAGCTTGAAGGTTTTTGTTGTTGTCTTGCCTTTGTAACTTAAGATTTTTAACGTTAAATTTGTAGCTACCAATCAAGAGAATAGTTTTGTTGATTGATTTTCTCAAAGTTTTATAAGCAACTTGCCTTAGCTATTATAAGTGACATCTTCACATGTGAAGAATTATAATCTCTGTAAGTAAAGTACATTTTAGAAGTTTTTTTGCTGTTTTATTTACTTTATTGTTTTGTTTTTATTTTATTTACTTTTTTTGTTTTTGAGACAGGGTTTCTTTGTGTAGACCAGGCTGGCCTCGAACTCACAGATGTCCACCTGCCTCTGCCTCCCGAGTACTGGGATAAAAGGTGTGTACCACCAATGCAGCTTCTTTATTTTTGTAGTAAAGTAATTTGGCTGTTTCTGTTCACTATTTATTAGTCACGTAGTGAATATTTTTACCCTTCTCAATTGTTTAAACAATTGGTTAGAGAAAGTATCAAGTCCAAAAGAGATCTTTACTTCTGCCTCTGGTAGGTTACTTTGGAAATAAGACATTTTCTGAGCATTGTAGAAGTGATATTTATACGTACCTTCCTTACAGACTTATGTGGCCTAACTCTGTAAATTTTCATACACATTAAGCTCCTGTCATGCTGTTCCAAATGTAGCATTTCTTTTAAATGTTCCTGTACATGTTAGGGAACTGCTAAGTATGGAAAATTAATTATTAATTTAATTGATGTGATTAATTGATATAATGATTAATTGTGATGAATTTTTTCAGGGTTTGGGAAAGACACTTCAAACAATTTCTCTCCTTGGGTATATGAAACACTATAGAAATATTCCTGGTCCTCATATGGTTTTGGTTCCCAAGTCTACATTGCACAACTGGATGAGTGAATTCAAGAGATGGGTACCAACACTTAGATCTGTTTGCTTGATAGGAGATAAAGAGCAAAGAGTAAGTTTCTATACCATTAAGATGAAATATCTGGAGAAGGGATGAAAAAGAAAGGGTCTTCACAAATTATTAGTGATTTATAACTGTGCTACTGTTTTTGTGGTTAAGAATTTTATGAGAAGGATTTATAGACTAGAAAGCTGTAAGAATTTATTAAATTTATTTTCAGTTTGTTTCTCCCCTTGGAAATGTTTTTATACAGTCAAGGATGGTTTATTTGGAAGTATTAGCATGTTTTTTAAAAAGGTTTTGAATGTGTTATCATCATTAGAAACTTGAGGGGCAAAATTTCTAATTTAGGGTACAGTGGTAATAGAATAGTAATTGTTAAATTTGAGTAGAATCAATTCTAGTAATTTGAGATGTTATGATACAAATATGAGTTAAAATTAATTCATTTCTTAGCCATATGGTTTTGGGCTAAAGTCATAGCAATAATGACACTACTAAGAATAAAGAACTTTGCTGGGTGGTAGTGGCGGTACATGCCTTTAATTCCAGCACTTGGGAGGCAGAGGCAGATGAATCTCTTGGGTTAGAGGTCAGCCTGGATTACAGATTGAGTTCCAGGACCGCCAGAGCTACGCAGAGAAACCCTGGAGGGTTGGGGGGGGGGCGGGGAGAAAAGGAGGTTGGGGGAAAGGGAGAGGGGGAGAGAGGAGAGAGAAACATAGATTTGGAAGGTGGAGATAATAGATTGCATACATTGATTAAATTAAATGGTTTTGTGCTTAATTAGTGTAGATTAATTTTTTAAGGTTATGTTTATGAGTGCTTTGTCTGGATATATGTCTCTGCACCAGGTGCATGCTTCTGAAGCCAGAAAAGGGAGTCGCATCTCTGGAACTAGAGTTGCCGATGGTGTTGAGCCACCATGTGGGTGCTGGGATGTGAACCTGGGTCCTCTCTAAGAACAGCAAGTGCTCTTAATCACTAAGCCATCTCTTCAGCCATCTAGATTTCTTTCCCTCCTGAGTAGATATGTAGGTTATTTTTAAGTTGCTATGTTGCTTTTTCTTAGGGTGACTCAATTCTCTGGTTTTTACTTTTATGTCCTTATCTATAAAATAAGAACAATAACAGTGTGTTAATACATCTACAAATCAAAGCAATGAAACTGTTTACTAACAACTGTTAGTCTTCTTGTTACAAACTCTGTTTCCTAAGAATTTTGAGATATAGTTGAATTGTGGAAAGACATTTTTTGTTGTTGTTGTTTTTGGTTTTTGAGACAGGGATTCTCTGTGGCTTTGGAGGCTGTCCTGGAACTAGCTGTTGTAGACCAGGCTGGTCTCGAAACTCAGAGATCCGCCTGCCTCTGCCTCCCGAGTGCTGGGATTAAAGGCATGCGCCACCACCGCCCGTTGTGGAAAGACATTTTAAAGAATTAGACTTCTGAATTTTGTGATTCACTTCAGCTTTCTGAAACTAAGTTAAGACTGACATTAACATGATTAATGAGTAATTTAGTGGTAGGATACCTAGCTTTAAATGCTTATTTAATGATAGCTATTCCGTTTAATAGTCTCACTTCTTTTTCTGTATTACATTACTTGTTGGTTAGTTTAATGTATAATTGCATTGAGTGATATAATTTTTCTGTTGCTTTATAGGCTGCATTTGTCAGGGATGTTTTATTACCAGGAGAGTGGGATGTGTGTGTCACATCTTATGAAATGCTTATTAAAGAGAAGTCTGTATTCAAAAAATTTAACTGGAGATACTTAGTTATAGATGAAGCTCACAGAATAAAAAATGAAAAATCTAAGGTAATTTGATATTTCATATGAACATTTTTGTGTCTGAGGGTTTGGTACTTAACAATGTTCTAATAATGAGCTTTGAATTTTTCAGTTGTCAGAAATAGTGAGGGAATTCAAGACTACAAATCGACTGTTGCTAACTGGGACGCCTCTTCAGAACAACTTGCACGAGCTCTGGTCACTTCTAAATTTTTTATTACCAGATGTGTTTAATTCAGCTGATGTAAGCATCTCTTTATGGTTAATAATATTTTGTTTTTAATGCCTTATATTTTAATAATAGCATTATTTGAGATGGTCATTAATTTTTTTACACTTATGTAGTTAGCCTATTAACTAACCTAAGTTGATTATGTATTTTGAGAATTCACTTTTGAGCCTTGGCTTTAATCTCATTTCCCATCAGTTTCTACAACTGGAATGGCATATTTTTATTCGAGTTTGGCAATCAAGGCTGTTTAATTTTACCTCAGAATTTCTAGGTTAACTGCTTGTTTTAAAGCATTCTGGGTCTCTTTGTATATCTCAAATGTTCTGTTTTAGCATTCAGAGACAGCCTTCAGGGGTTTCTCTTCCTGTTGCTGTAATAAAATACTCTGACAAAAGCAACTTAAGGGAGAAAGAGTTTGTTCTGGCCTGCGGTTTAAGGATGCATGCTGTCCAGGGGAAGGTGCTGGCAGTAGCTGATTATACATCACTTGAATTCAGCAAGCAGAGACAGTGTGATTAAATGTATCCTAGTGCTCTGATCCTTTTCTCCATTCTGAACAGTCCAAGATCCGAAACCTGGAATGGTCACACAATTGAGATACCCCTACATTAGTGCTGGGAGGCTCATTTCTGGGCTAATTGTAGACTAATTCTAGGCTAATTGTGGAATCGTTGACAATGAACAGTAAACATTACATGGCTTTCATTGTAATGTAATAACCTAGTCTTTATCAATCAGTTATTTACATAATAAAATGATGGTATTAGTGGTTAACTGTTCATTGTACTAGGAAAAATAATCAATGTATCAATAGTCTGTGCTATTAGTAGTTACAGTTGCCAAACCAAAGTTCAGTTTTGAACTGTTGTTCCTATGTTTGGAATGGGTGGGGAGAGCTTTGTAGATATCCATGTTAGTACATTTATATAAGTAAGTTGTATAAAGGTATTCATTTTGGTTTAAAAATGTGGAAAAAGTATATTCAGATTTTAATTCTAAATGTTTTGATGTTTTAGAGATAATTTTCAAGATAATTTGTTTTTCTTGCTAGGCTAATTGTTTCTGTTAAAGCCCTCAGTTGTAACAGTTATAAGATGTTTGCTTAACATAGCAAATTTATAGTAGATACTTAAAATTCAGATCGTACCTAAATAGAAATGAGATTCTTTTAATCTAAGTTCCACTTAGATTAATAAGGTGGACATTTCTCCAGAAACCTTTGAGTTGTGTATTCTAATTATTTCTTTGAGTCTCTATTTGTGGAAAAAACACTTAGGGAATATTATGATTCAGCTACTTTTCCTGGAGCTAGTAGTAAACAGGATACTTGGAAAATAAGAGTTTGAAGTAAATTGGTTTGTTTGGTTTTTTTGTTTTGTTTTTTCCAGACAGGGTTTCTCTGTGGCTTGGAGTCTATTCTGGCACTTGCTCTATAGATCAGACTGGCCTCTAACTCAGAGATCTTCCGGCTTCTGCCTCCCGAGTGCTGGGATTAAAGGCGTGCGCCACCAACGCCCAGCTGAACTTAATTGTTTTTTGTGGCTTACAACTCATATACTATACTAATTCTAGAAACTATTTTTACATCTGGTGCTATAGAACATTTGTGGTTAATATATTTTTGACCTTAAGATGGTTTTTGTTTGTTGATATAGGACTTTGATTCCTGGTTTGATACAAATAATTGCCTTGGGGATCAAAAGCTAGTTGAGAGGCTTCATATGGTAAGTATGGTTAGACCATATTTTTAATGGGAAAATACTTAAATTAGTTATTTTACTGTTAACAGAGGTACAATACAGAATTATATTTGTTTTAATTTAAAATCTACTCTTTGAAATGACATTAGGAGATGATGTGTGATGGTTTTAGTGTTTGAACCTAGGGTGTACTTTGAGTGTAATGAAAAAGAAAGTAACCTCTTAGTCCACAGGTAAAAGTTGGTAGGTAGATGAGGATGTCCTTGGCTGTCAGGATCAAGCAAGACATTGTGACGTGCAGAAGTTTGGTTTGGATAATAGGGGATAGGAGGAGACGAGACAGTTGCACTTTGTACTTTATATAGTCCATTTAACAACATCCCTAACACTTTCTCCTCGGTACCATTTGTGACAACAACAAACATGCCTATAAACATAGTAAAAGTTCCCTGGGAGATAAACTCATGCCTGCTCACCTCTCCTTACATCCCAGTCTTTTCAGAATACTCCAGCTTTAATTTTACTCTCCACTTGTTCTTTGTTTTTACTATATCTAGAATCTCTGATTTCTCCCCCCCCCCCCCACCCCCCCCCCCACCACCCCACCCCACCCCCCCCCCCAGACAGGGTTTCCCTGTGTAGCTTTGGAGCCTATCCTGGCATTTGCTCTGGAGACCAGGCTGGTCTTGAACTCACAGAGATCCACCTGCCTCTGCCTCCCAAGTGCTGGGATTAAAGGCATGCGCCACCAACGCCCGGCTCTGATTTCTTCCTAGGTAGTCTAAGACTTATTTATGTCTACCACCTTCTTTATTGACCATCTAGACTGAGGCTGGCCTAGTGACTTGTGTATGCATTCCATCTTGAGTCATTTGAGTATTCTGACACTGTAAGACTTTATACAGGGCACTGGAGTGTTCATGGGCAGGGAACATGTTTATGGACTTTGCACAGTGCCTGGCTTCAGTGGATATTTTTCTTCTTCCTATCTTCTCTTTCTGATGAGGAATATTCTTCTGTGTATATGTTTGTGTTATTGGTTGATGAGTAAAACACTTATTGGCCAGGTAGGATGATAGGTAGGACTAGAAGACAAGGAGGATTCTCAGAAGTGTAGGCAGAGAGGAGTTGTCGTGTGATCCCAGGAAGTGACATAGCTGGGCAGAATCAGACTACAAGCAGAGACAAATAGGAAATTGCTCTCTTCATTGCTGAGACACTGAACAGTCAAGATGTAGGTTGCCAGAGGAGTAAGAGATCCCTGGACCTTTCTCCGGTAAGATAAGACCATGTGCAAATACATGGATTATTAGAAAATGGGTGAATAATTAAGACTGAGCTAACAAATAAGAAACCTTAGCCAGTGGCCAACAGCTTTATAATTAATATAAGTCATGTGGGACCCAGGCCACTGGTGGGACAGAGTACACGTAACCTCTTTCTCCTGTCCTCATCCCTTTTTCTGCCTTTTCCCTATTCTTTTGAGGCATGATCTTGCATGCAGCCATGGCTGGCTTTAAACTAGGTAATCCTGCCACAGCCTCCTGCCACAGCTGGAGTATTCTGAATTACAGTATGAACCTTTCCACTAGGTTGACCTTTATTTCCTGTATACATTAATATTTTTAAATTCTTCTGCATTGAAATTTTTTGTTATATATCTGAGAGGTTATAATGTCCTAGGAACTTTTTTAGTTCAGATAGCAGTCAAGTTTTTAAATCTGTTTAGATTTTTCTTTTTATTTAAAGTATTGAGAGTGTTGAAAGATTAGAGTGTTGATAAAATCTAAGTGAAAAATGAGGCAGAGGAATTGGATTCTTTTCTGTTTTCTTTTCCCATACCCTTCATTTCATGGTTTCCCTTTAAGTTACCCTGTACATGTAGGTAAAGCAAACTAAAGCACCTAGGCAATGGAGTCAAGCAGTTTTAGTATCTTTGTTAATTTTTCTTAGAATAATGTGAATTTCTTTATCAATTTAAGAAGAGAAATGGTTTCTTTACTTTGTCCTGACCTTGCATTCTGAAATCCCCACTATAGTGTCTATGACTCTGTGATGGGAGGGGCATATTTAGAAGTCAGCCTGGAAGGCTGTTGACATGGCTCAGCATTACAGAAAGTGCTTGTTTTGGAGATCTTGTGAGGCACACACCAAGGTGGAAGGAGAAACCTGATTTGACATGGTTGTCTTTTGACTTCCACATGTCTGCTATAGCATGTACATCATACACAGATACATGTGCACAAAATAAATAATTTTTTTAAAGCTCAGCCTGCATGTTCTTAGGAATGATTTGTCAGCTATATGCTGCTACTAATCCAGTCCTTTACTCTCTACAAACTTCTGCCTTTTAATAATTTTAGAGTTCGTGGGTGTTGTGATTTCTTTTCAGATTTTTCCTGGGTTTATTCAGCTGCATTTAGCTGGACAGTTTTAGAAGACAGCCAAGTCTTGTCTTGGCAACAGCTGGTGCTTGATTAGGTCTACACTGACATTATTGTCTGCTGTAGCCTGGTTGGAGTTGCTGATGGTTTTCCTCACCAGGATTCTTATCAGCTAGTAAAACTAGTACAAAGAAGGTATAAAATAATTTTAGTTTTATTGTTATATTAAAACTTATATTTTATAAACAGGAAAGAACTACTACTTTGTGAAACCTAGATGCCAATCATAAACGTTGAATGAAAAAAGTTACAAGTGGTAACATTAAAAGATAATTTGTTGCTTAAAATTAAAAATAAGAGGTGAAACTGATCTGTATTGTTTACAAAGTCAAGAATATTACTTACTGTTAGGAAAGGACTGGGAGAGACTCAACGATTTATTAACTTGCTAGAGACTGAAATGAACTGAGTATTTTATACTTGCCACATGGACTGGTTCTATAATGGGTAATTATTTAAAAGCTAGCCATGCAGCTCTTAATGTTGGACAGTGTGTGTGCAAGTAACTAATTTTTAAACTAAAATGAATTATCAATGTTGAAATCAGTTTTAAAACTTACCATTATTTCCTAGTATTTAATGAGAATATAGCAAGCATTATATAAATACTTACATACAGGGTAAATAATGAAATTGTATTGTTATCCTTCAAGAATAAAATCGTAATAAATTATGTATTTGGGACAGGGAAATCTTAAAAATTACTTGGTATTCAGACAAACTGCCATATATTTGACACATAATTTTAAGATTTTGAAGTAATACCAATATTGCAGATAAGGTTATCTTTTTCTTTTTGTCCTTTCTAAGGTTTTGCGTCCATTCCTCCTACGTCGAATTAAAGCTGATGTTGAAAAGAGTTTGCCTCCAAAGAAAGAAGTAAAAATCTATGTGGGTCTTAGCAAAATGCAAAGGGAATGGTATGTATTCTGAGATACTTGAGAATACTTTGTTTTTCTTGCATTTTCATTTTACAGTCTGTGTCTTTGTGGGATTTCTATTTATTGGATTAAGCTTAACCTGCTAATGCAATGCCCATTAAAAGGTGGCAAGAGATAGGTCAGCCCACCAGCCTGGCTTGCAGTGTGGCTTTTGTTGCTCAGGGTATTCTGATGGTAGGCATTCTTTCTCTATTTTATTTCAGATACGTGATTCAAAACTAGGAGTTTAATTTAGTTATCCTAACATTGAGCAGTGTGTTTTTATTAATTTCACCCAAAGTTTACTTAAAAATTGAGTCATGGGACTGGAGAGATTGTTCAGTGGTTAAGAGTACTGGCTGCTCTCCAGAGGACCCAGGTTCATTTCCCAGCCACCTACATGACACTTCACAGCTGTCTATAACTCCAGTTCCAGGGGACCCTACATCCTCATCAAGACACACATGAAGGCAAAATACCAATGTATGTAAAATAAATAAAGAAGAAACTGAGTCATAATTTCTGTACTTAAAAAAGTACAACATTTTTCTGTCCAGTCATGAGAGCTAATGAACAGAACTAAGCAAGATCCATGATACAAACAAAACAAAATGGCTCAGGAAGTAGTTTAGTGTTTCTCTAACACGCACAAAATCCTGGGTTTGATCCTGATCACCACATAAACTAGGTGTGATTGTGTACACCTGTAATCACAGCACTGGAAAGGCAGGAGTATAAAATCATCTGGGGCTATGTTTGAGAGTAGTCTGAGATACCCTTTCATATATGTGCACACAAAAGTATACACTTATGGATATGTAAAACTTTATTTTCGTTTGTTGTATGACGGTTTTGTCTTGAATGTATATCTGTTCTCCATGTAAGTGCCTACTCCCTGTGGAGGTAGGAAGAGGGCATCAGATCCTCTGGAACAGGAGTTATAGGCAGTTGTGAGCTACTGTGGGTAATGGGAATTGAATGTGGATACTCTCTGCAAGAGCAGCCAGTAGTCTTAACTTCTGAGCTACCTCTCTAGTCCCCTGTATATATAAAACTTAATGTTTTTAGTCTATAAAGCTACTTTTATTTTAGTCTAAATACCTTTTTTTCCTAAAATTTTAAGCAGTATAAAATGCCTTTGTGAAATGATAGTAATGATACCTGGTAGTTAGTTCCCGTATTCTCATAGGAAGAAATTTAAAAGTTGAAAATGTATTAGTTCTTAAGGATTTTTTGTATGTAATTATTTGTGTGTAGGTACATATATGTGTACTATTTCATGTTAACGGTTTGTATGTAGAGGTCAGAGACTTGGGCAGTTTGGTTCTTTACAATGTGGGTTCTGTGGGTCTGCTCAGGTTGCCAGGCTTTGTTGGCAAGTGTCTTTACCTACTGAAAGATTTTACTGTCCCCACTTTTTAGAAATAAATTTTATTTTTAAAAGCTTTACAGACAGGTATAATCTAAAAAGCTAGAAACTTCTGACTTATTTTGTTAGATACATTTATCATGATTTCATGTGTATATAATGTACTTTGAACATATTTATACCCCATTATCTTCTCACCCTAGTTATTCTCCCACTGATCCCCTTCTTTCCAACATGAATTTTCCCTATTGGTAGAAAGCATACCATGGACTCATTGTAAGATGACTATAGGAAAAGATCATGTAACTTTAGAATATGTAATACAAGCATAGTGCTCCAGGGATGGATGTAAGAGGCCACCTATTATTTTACTGGTCTTACCATGTTTATAGATTGCGAGGAGCTAGAGTTGCAGAAGGATGAAATGGATATTACAGATGTAGGCAAGTTATCTGAAAGAGCTCCACTGTAGAAGATGAGCTTATTTTCCATGTCCTCAGGACTTTAGAAAAGCTATTACAAGGTAGCAGAGATACTCGGTTTGCCCTGCATGTGTATGAGTTGGTGTCAGAGGTGCACAGATGCTAGTAAATTAAACGTGTGAACTTCCTATTAGAATTGTAATGAAGTCTGCTCTCAGTTACTTTGTTCAGAACATTTGGTTTGACTAAGACTTTAATCTTTAAACATGATTAGTTACTGCTGCTAAGACAATTTCTAAATTCTTAGTAATCATTAATGGCTTTTTTATGGTTTGACTTTAAACTATAGCTGTAGTTCACAAACATCCCTTCCTCTTATGTATTTATATAAACACATGTTTAAATCACATCACATTCATTTTAATGTCATCATCATGCCTTAGCCTCAGGATTCCTCCTCTTTTCTTAGATCTTAATTTTCTTACTCAAATGTTGCACTAGCTATCCAGTATGTGACACAGTCAAGTATCATTTGACAGTGGGATATGTTCTGAGAAAAGCATTGTTAGGCATTTTTCTCCCACTGTACAAATGCCTTAGAATATTCTTACTGCGACATCTGTTAAATTAGTTAAGTGAATAATTTCGTAGGACAGCTGTTGTATGTGCAGTCTGTTTACTGAAGTATTTTGTGATTCATGACTGTAATTGAGTAAAATGAGTAATTTTTTGTTTAAAAAATACTGTATACTAAAATTATGTTTATAACAATGTTTTCTTTTTAAATCTCAATTACATGAAAAGGTTGTATCACACTACTTTATTTTTAATTCTATTTAAGCGGACTATTTTGAACATTTAAAATGTCTTTAAGGTTCAAGGGCATAAATGTGAACATATACTATCGGCAATAAAAACAAAAAAGTTACAGATGGTAAGTAACCATACCTTAGGAATTGATGGTGTACACCAGCTACATAGTATATAGATAGCATAATGATCCATCCTTTAATGATGGGATATAGTCTGACAAATACATTGGCCTTTGTTTCGTTATACAAATATGTGAAATTTTAAATGTGTGTATTCCTAGATCATCGGAAGCAAATTTCAGACAATGACTTTTCAAATTATTCTTAAGTATTTTGTGATTGGGTGGTAAGGGGATTAAGTGTGCAATGTGTCAGCATTAAACAATTTTTCTTTTTAATAGGTATACTCGGATATTAATGAAGGATATAGACATATTAAACTCAGCAGGGAAGATGGACAAAATGAGGTTATTGAACATTTTGATGCAGTTGAGGAAATGCTGCAATCATCCATACCTTTTTGATGGAGCTGAACCTGGTCCACCTTACACAACAGATATGCATCTAGTTACCAATAGTGGCAAAATGGTGGTATTAGACAAGCTGCTCCCTAAATTAAAAGAACAAGGTATCTATGTTACTGGCATTAAATTGAAAAGTAACGAAAACTTTAAAACCTCTAATATTAAGAGGACAAAAGAACAACACTTTGAAATGTCGGTTCTGACAGTTTTTAAAGTTGAAGTGGTGGATGCCAAATCCCCTTCTAATTTGGGTCCTTTACTCTCATAAAAGTTGATAAATATTCAGAGGAACTACCGTTCAATTTAATCTTTTTATCATAAGATAACAGCAGTGCCTTTTCTGCATACATATTTCCCAGATCCTTTGTTTAGAAAGTGATGTTTGGGCTTATGGTATCTCGAGTCTTGATGCCTGTACCTGTCTTTTCTCTCATGCCAAATGTTGGGATGCTATAACGCAGGTCAGTTGATTCCAGCATGAAATTTTAAGGCCTATGTGGCAGCAGGAAAGTCTAGCCTCTCTGATGGGCTGAACCCCAAACAGCCGAACAAAGATGTATTTATTGAAAGTTACACCTTGTACCAAGGTCCCTAATCTAATTTACATGTGTTACTAAAGGAGAGTATCACATGCCCCCATGACTCTAGTCCTTTATTATTGTATCATTTGCAATAACAATAATACAAGAGCCTCAGGTGTGCCTGAGGTGTCTTGTGACCAAAGTCATGGGATGGCTGCAATGCCCTTTCAGCAAAAAACGGTTCTGCAGATCACAGGAAACAATTTACTGTTTTTCACAAGGATTCTTCAAGGTCAAAGTACTTCTAAAAAATGATTGTTCATTCTAATATCTACCCCAGATACAATGGCTGCAAAATTCCCACATTTTTATTGTATTTTTTATGGAGTTTAATATATTTACTTGAATATCATTTACATGGACTGGAAGCATTTCTTTTTTTTTTTTTTCAGTTTTTTTTTCTTTTTATTATTATTGTTATTCTTAATCAAGTTAGGGAACAGGCTTGTTTCACATGTAATCCCCCTCTCCCTCTCCCCTCACCCCCCTTCCTTCTCCCCCAACTGGAAGCATTTCTATTTACAATATTCTGATTTTTTTATATATGAGAATCTATATCTGAATAATATATAGTGTATAATATATAAAATGTGTATGTAATATATAATGTATAGTCCTTCTAGATGAATTGAAGCATCTCATTATAACATCTTGTATAGCATCATAGCTTTTAAAGATAAATATCAGTCCTAAATGAAATAGAATTCTGTAATATCAAGAGTACAGTGAGCTTTCACATTTCTCCAGTTGTATTTACAGGTATGATATGTGAAGGAGAGATGGTTGTACAAATAGATGCACCTTGATAATGATGTCCACAACATCACTGTGGTTGTTAGTGAATTGGCTTACTTTTATTTTACCTTTTTGTAATTTTTTTTATGAAAACAGTGGAGTAATTAAAGACTGATTTGGTAGGTAGGAGTGGTAGGAACCTACGCGCCATTAAATGTTGGTGAGAGTTACATTGAACTCTAAGAAAATAAGCCAGAACATCCTTATGCATTTGGTCCAAGAATGTGTGCACAGGTTGTCAGCCTCAGTTTTGAGTTAGGCTTGTACGATAATCAGTTATTCTCAAAACAACTACTTTGTCATACGTTCTCCTTAAGATGTTCCATAGCTGGCTTGTGAGAAAACCAGTAGACTCATTTGAGTCATGACATTTGGGGATGTTGGGGAGTTTAAGGGAACTTTTTTTTTTTTTTTTAAAGATTGATTTATTATGTATACAATGTTTTGTCTGCATGTATGCCTGCACACCAGAAGAGGCACCAGATCTCATTATAGATGGTTGTGAGCCACCATGTGGTTGCTGGGAATTGAACTCAGGACCTCTGGAAGAGCAGTCAGTGCTCTTAACCTCTGAGCCATCTCTCCAGCCCCAAGGGATCATGTTTTAAGAAAGGTTGTGGAGTGGTAGAAGACTCCTTTTAAATATATATGAGGTAATAGACTAATGATTCAGTCTCCTACACCAGACAGTTTACCTTAGTGTGCTGTACATGTCACTCTTTTTGTGACTTCATGGGAGATAGGTGGAGATACTGACCTAGGTATTTACTGATGCCATTTTTATCCTTTTAACCAAATAGTAATTTGGAATTGATTGGTAATTTGTTAGTCCTACTTCCATTAGCCTTAAATTTTTAAATGAAAATTTCTGTTAGAAAGCTCTTGGCAATGGGTTATTTATGTTCATCAGGTTCAAGAGTACTAATCTTCAGTCAGATGACCAGGGTGTTAGACATTTTGGAAGATTATTGCATGTGGAGAAATTATGAGTACTGCAGATTGGATGGGCAGACACCCCATGATGAGAGACAAGTAAGTAACGAAGGCTGGGGAGATAAAAATCAGAACAATTTTACTTTATTTTTTTATGTTCTGTTAGCATGTACCAAGGTAATATATGTTTGCATTGTATTGTTAGAATATTTGAGTTTTTTTAAGAATACACTTTTCTTTTTAAATTAAATTTATTTTGTGTGTAAGTATTTTGCCTGCATGTCTGTCTGCACCTTGTGTATGCCTGGTGCCCAAGGAAGCCAGAAGTGGGTGTTGGAGCCCTGGGATTGGAGTTACAGATGGTTGTGTGCTGGGGATCAAATCAGGGTCCTCTGGAAGAGCAGCCAGTGCCCTTAACCACTGGGCCATCACTTCAGTCAGGAACTTAAATGCCAGGCTAGTTTGGGATTCACTGTGTAGACAAGTATGATCTTGAGTTTCTGATCTTTGTGTCTCTTCATGAGTGCTGGGTTTTGGAATGTGCTGCCATGCCCTAGATAAAGTAATTTTCTAAGCCAGTCATGATGGCGTGTACCTGTAGTCCCAGCTGCTTTTTTTAACGCTTGTTATTTTATTCCCATAGGACTCCATCAATGCATACAATGAACCAAATAGCACAAAGTTTGTTTTTATGCTAAGCACACGTGCTGGTGGTCTGGGCATCAATCTTGCTACTGCTGATGTAGTAATTTTATATGATTCAGATTGGAATCCCCAAGTAGATCTTCAGGCTATGGTAAGAGATAACAAGTAAATGCTTTGTGTGCTTGGTAGATGTTTTAGGTAGGGTCTGCTTATTCTATAAGCATCTCTGATTTAACCTAGTAGAATTTTATTTTTAAAATTTATTTAGGAAGTATGTCGACAAATCTCTGCCTGGTGTATATGTGGAGGTCAGGACAACCAGGGGAGTCTGTTTTCTTTCTACCATCTGGTTTCCAGCGATTGAACTCAGGTCATCAGGCTTGGGCAGAAAGTTCTTTTACCTGCTTAACTGTGTCCTTAGCCACAACTCTTTATTTTCTTTTTTTTTTTTTCCCATTCCCCCTACCCACTTCTCTACTCTTAGACTCATGTTAATACATCCTCTCCTTCTCAACTTCATGTCTTGTGGGTTTTTTTTTTTTTCCTTTTCTTTTTTAAATAACCCAGTGAAACCAATTAGTGCTATTAGAATAGACTCTTTGGAGTTTCCACTGAACGTGTCTCCCAGCTCCTCATTAATATAAATGAAAAGTTGTAATATTCTGATTGCACACCTGTAGTGCACCCTGTATATGGGGCCATCTACTGGAGCAAGGGCAACTTACCAGTAGCTACACCCAAAGAAAAAGATTGCTACTCAGGGAATGGAGAGTTACTTGCCGGTAGTTCCTTGGGGGCCTCAACAGCTAGAACTTTGATGAGCTTGATTCTGTGCAGGTAGCCACAACTGCTGTAGGTCGATACCTGTAATGGATGTGTTCTGTACAAGAGATAATCATTTCACGGTGTTCCTACCCATTCTGTGGCTCTTAGGTTCCTTCTCCCACCTCTTTGATGTTCTTTGAGAGCACTTGGCTAGGGTGGGAAGTTGATAAAGATGTCCCATTTAGAGCTGAGTGCTCACTGTCACTAGAATTTTATGTCTTTGGGCTAATGGGTCAGCCAATATATTTTGAATACTCTGGTGAATGAAAGGATCAGTAAATAAGTATAGTTGTGCTTTGGGAGAAATGGGAAATTAGTTTGAGCAGCTAGCTCATCTGCCAGTTGGGACACCTAAAATTTGTGCTCATATTTGGAGTATCTGACCAAATGAGAAAATTGAGTCTTAAGACTGAGAAAATTCATGATCCACAGACTAATGTGCAATATATAGACTCTGACTACTGACTTGACTTGGAATGTTGGTATTTGTGAGTGCAGCTTGAGATCTGCATTGGTCACTTTTGTCTTGTACTGTTTGTAAGGGTGGTTAAGGTAAATTGATAAGAAATGAAGTGTTTTGCTGGATATAATGTGGTTAGTAAATTGATCAGAAGTTAAATTAGCATGTAAATATATTTGAATGTATTTAGCTAATTATGTAATGTTTAAATATTTTATATCATTTGTGAAGGACATTTTTGTTTTCCTAATAAGTGAAAATTAAGATTTCATTCAGGCCAATGGTGGCCTGAGCCTTTAATCCCAGTACCTGAGAGGCAGAGGCAGGTGGATCTCTGAGCTCAAGGCCAGCCTGATCTACAGAGTGAGTTCCAGGACATCCAAAACAAACAAAAATAGACTTCATTAACTTAATGAAAGGAAAGATTTTGAAATTAAATTCAAGTAAAAGAAATCATGAAACTGAAATACTAATTACAATTTTGCCTATAAGCTAGTGTCATATTTGTGTTACTCATGTGGTTAGCCTTGTTGACTATTAAACAACTATGATTTCTTTTAGTCTTAGGAAGCTTTCCATGTATTTAATTTGATTAAATCTGAGATATATTTATGTAGCATGAGATATTTAAATAGTATTTTATAGGTCTTTTACTTTATACTTAATAAGTATCTTAATTTTGGTTCTCATTGTACATGTTTCTGTATTTCACTTTTTAACTGTATTCAAAATGACATAATTCAATTCTCCTAGGACCGAGCTCATAGAATTGGACAAACAAAGACTGTCCGAGTGTTTCGATTTATAACTGATAACACTGTAGAAGAAAGAATAGTAGAACGTGCCGAGATGAAACTCAGATTGGATTCAATAGTTATTCAACAAGGTGAGGCCTGGAACTTTCAGATAATTCCCTAAGTTGGATTGGCAGCAATATATTTCCATCTGAAGCTTTTTGAGAGGAGTTTTTAAGCACCTAGAGTCCAGCTAACAGCCAAGAAAGATGGCTACTATTCCAGATATTTAAACTTTTATTTTGTTATTAAGGAAGTAGTTTTAAGCTTGGGTAAGTTGATTTTAGTATTTATTAGCTAGCAGTGTCCTTCTGCCTGAGCCTCACATTTCACTTAAGTGGAAATAAAAGTAATGTTTAAAAATTTTTAAGAATTAAATGGGGTACTATATAGACTATATGACCTTCAGCAGAGCATATATTAAATTGAGCTATAGTGATGATTTATAAGCACTGGGGGATACTGAAGAAATGAGAGACACAAATTTTTTTTTTTTTTTTTTTACTTACCTGGAACTATGTTAGTCACTGTTGTTGCTACCGAGACTAAAGCAACGAGTGGACTAAGTGTGCTTATTTTCAAGGAACTTTAATGTTTACTAGGAGAGAGATTCTTGACTAGACACAGGACTAGAGGGGATAGGACTTTATTTGGCTTAATTGAAGTAAACTCTCAAGTTCTCATATTAGATCAGCCTTTAGGAATACATCCTTTGCCTGTATTGTGAAAACACAAATGATGATTGACTTAATTCCTGCTGGTTCAATTTAATAATTAAATTAATTAGTTGGTTAATATTGAAATCTTTTCTGTGATCAAACTAAATTTTCAGAAGCTTTGGGTTCATCATATCTAGACATTTTATTTTATGATTTTGTGGGGGGGGATGGGGGGAGACAGGGTCTTACTGTGTAGCCCTGGCTAGCCTAGAATTTGCTAAATAGACTAGGCTGGCCTTGAACTCAAAGCAGTTTTCCTAGCTCTGCTTTCCCAGTATTGGGACTAAAGGCACCTGTTCTTACATAAAATTGAAACACATTGAAGGCTTTCCTATTTCAGTTTTCTAAGAAAAAGCTGACTGGGAAAGATGAACAGTAGTATCTTTCTGATATGTTTCTTAAGTTTATAATGTTTACAAATGTTAAAATTTGTGAGATTCTCTCTTTGATTTTCTGTTTTTGAGACAGGGTCTCCCTGTATAGCTCTGGCTGTCCTGGAATTTACTATGTAAACCAGACTGGGCTTAAATGAGAGATACGCCTGTTTCTGCCTCCCAAGTTCTGAGATTTAAATGCATGCACCACTGTGCTCACCAACTTGATTTTCAAATATATCTCAAATACTATATTGTCCCGACCTGCAGGACATCAACCTGGGGCAAGAGAATCAGGGATAGGGAATGGGGTAGGGAACGAGTCACAGAAAGAATGACCACAAGACAGGGTTCTGATCAAGCGGCAAACTTTGCTTTTCTCAGGCTAGCTTGTATAGTCAGGATATGGGGAGGGGCAGAATGGGTTGTTTGTGGACCAGGTGTTAGTATAGGCAGGATAGTAGGAAGCCACAAACAGGATGTTTGGCACGGTAAAGAGGTCCAGGAAGGGTTGCCTAGGTGACTGAGCCTGTGGGTGGAGGACTGGGTCAAGTTGTTTCTTGTCTTGAGCTGAGTGAGGTTCTAAGGAGCTGCTATGTAAAGGTTAACTATGTGACCTGCCAAGCATGGCCTAGGATCTCATGTCCAGCCCTGAGATTTGGCTCCGAACACTATATTCTTCAAAAAACATTTTATTGAGCCAATATATAGTAGGTATCATATAATATGTAAGCTTTAGAAATATTTTAAGACCCAGCTGAAAAATGTAGCATTAAATTTAATGTATTAGTGAATTTGATCACCTGTAAATTAGCAGTAAACAGAAATGGGGTAAAGCTATAGGGTTATTGCCTCTAACAAGTAAAACTTTAAGTTTATAGTAAAAAGCTTAATATCATACAACATAATTTTTAATTTATACTTAAAATTAATATCATACATACAATGTTTTCCAGGGAGGCTTGTAGATCAGAACCTGAACAAAATTGGGAAAGATGAAATGCTTCAAATGATTCGACATGGGGCCACACATGTGTTTGCGTCAAAAGAAAGTGAAATCACTGATGAGGATATTGATGGTATTTTGGAAAGAGGTGCAAAGAAGGTAAGATGCATAGTAAATGATAATATTTTGTAACATAAACTGACGACATGCCTGCTCTGCTGTATGGTTAAGGGGATTTTTTTTTTTTTTTTTTTTTTTTTTTTTTTTTGTTAGGGGGTTTTTTTTTTTTTTTTTTTTTTTTTTTTTTTTTTTGGTAGATACAAGAGAACAGCCAGAGGCATCTGGAGGAGTCCAGAGCAGAGAAAGAAGTAGACTTGAACATGGCCAGGGCTAGGAAAGTAGCAGAGGGTAGAGAGAGCATAGTGAAAACAGCAGGAACTGAAGCTGGGAAGCTGGGAGAGTCCTGAAAATAGCTAGGCTGTTAGAAGGATGAATAGCAGGTAGGAGGGAAGCCCAGGGTCTGGAGGGAGTTTACATAGGGGAGGAAGTGAGAAAGGCTAGGATGCTAGCCTTTGGCATGGACTTTGAAATGTGTAACACACACTTGTGATAGACACTGAGGGATCCTGGAGGCCAACATGGGATTTGATATGCTTATTAGGTGCCACAGGTAGGGAGGCTGCCAGAGATAAGGGAAATGACTCCCTTCCACAGCTGGAACTGGCTTGGCAAGTTCTTGAGGAATGCTGGCTTTTAATCTAGTTGCCAGAAATCTTCCTGTATTCCAGGTTGATCTCATTTTTGGATATTTGGTCCTCTTTGAGAGTTTGAGAAATTCAAGTTTGGCAGTTTAGACAAAAACTACTCGAGAAAATACTTCCTCTTTGAAATATTATCTTTTTTTCTATAGAAAGCTTTTGTATACTGTAAAGTCTAATAAAGTCTAATTTTTTTTTTTTCTTTTGAGTATTTTATGTGTATGGGTGTATGTGCATCATGTGTGTGCTTGTTGCCCAAGAGGCCAGAAGAGGGCACTGGATCCCCTGGAACTGCAGCTAAATATAGTTGTGGGCTGTCTTTGAATTGAACTAGGTCCTTTGGAAGAGCAAGTGCTCTTAGCTGCCCAGCCATCTTTCTAGCCCCAAAGTCTAATCCATTTTGTTGCTTTCAAATTCAATGTGATGTTTTTTTCTTTGCAGACTGCAGAGATGAATGAAAAGCTCTCCAAGATGGGTGAAAGCTCACTTAGAAACTTTACAATGGATACAGAGTCCAGTGTGTATAACTTTGAAGGAGAAGACTACAGAGAAAAACAGAAGGTATTTATTTCAGAGTGGAATTTTGGAGTCTTGTGTCAGTTGTGAGACCTTAACAATTATTGTTGCAAGCAGCAACAATATTCCAATCTTAGGTTTTTCATAGTTTAAGTAGTGTTTTAGCTTGTAAGCTCTGATTTATTTACTTGTTTGTTTACTTATTTATTTATTTGGGGGGTCTTACTACAGCCCTGAGTGGCCACCCTTGCTTTATATTTGAGGGTGGCCTTGAAGTCTGCTAATCTCCTGCCTTTATGTCTCTACTGCTGACATTACAGATGTGTGTCACTGTGCTAGTTTTGGAGTGTTTGTAATTTAAATGATAAAGTTTCATTATATGCTGTTACTGAAAGTATTATTGTATGGGGTTATTATAACTGGGGATATTGGAAGTAAACTAAGTGGCAATAAAAAGACCACAGGCTACTTTTCTTAGAACTTGATTTGACTGGTAATTAAAATGATTCCATTTCATTAGCAATACTTGATACTGTGGAGAAATATTGGATATTCAATATAGAAGAAATATGTTACTTTTTAACTTTTAGACATATATTAAGCATAGTCTCAGAAGTTTTTCTAAGATTATTTCTGTTTTTTTCTACTTATTTGGGTTGTAGCACATGTTCTATGGTATTATAGATTCTGTCTTGTCTTTTAGCTACATAGTATAAGAAATACTGTAGTCCTTACCTTTATAGAGCAATATTTTGTCATTATCTTTTTATTTATAAATCACTAGATAATTTATTGCAGTGTATAATGAAATTAATGAATTATTTCCTACGTCCTAGATTGCATTCACAGAGTGGATTGAACCACCTAAACGAGAAAGGAAAGCCAACTATGCTGTTGATGCGTATTTCAGGGAAGCACTCCGTGTCAGTGAACCTAAAGCACCCAAGGTAGAGTGACACAGCATGGGAATAGTGAAATATCTTGTAAAAAAACAAAAGAAAATTGGGAATCATATTTTGTGTGACTTGAATTTGTCTAAATTTTGGCTAATGTCAGTTCATTTTCATTAAAAGGTGAATTCTGTTCCTTGGAGAATTGGCTATCATGGTTTAGGAAAAGACAGTATGGGTGTGTGTGTGTTTGCATTTTTTTGTTTTTTTAATGGACAATACTGTTTTTATTTTTCCTTAGGCACCTAGACCTCCGAAACAGCCAAATGTTCAGGATTTCCAGTTCTTTCCTCCACGTTTATTTGAATTACTGGAAAAAGAAATTCTGTATTACAGGAAAACCATTGGGTACAAGGTGATTGAAATTCTTCTCTAAATGTTTTCTCCTCAGAAACCACAAGGGCACAGCTACTTACTGACATTTGTTTAACCAGGAGAGCCTAGTAGGAAATACTGTTATTTGCTGTACTCTAGTTTTATGTATTTAGTATATGAACTTTGTGAGCTTTCACTGAAAAGAAAAAATTTCATGAGCAACACTTATTAAAGTAACATTGGAAATCAGTATGTTTAATATCATGGGTATACTGAAAATGTGAAATGTTAATTTGTTAAGAATTTAGTCTGTTAAGCTCCTTAAAATTTCCTAATTGATGGCATTGGAAAACATCTGTTAGGTGCCTCGGAGTCCTGACCTACCTAATGCAGCACAGGCACAGAAAGAAGAACAACTTAAAATTGATGAAGCAGAGCCCCTTAATGATGAGGAGCTAGAGGAAAAAGAAAAGCTTCTGACACAGGTATAACCTTGGATTACACAGTTATGTTGTGCAGTACTGTTTGGGGTGTGTTGAGACATACATAGTGCAAATTGCTGCTTTCAAAGAATAAATAGGGGGCTGACAGTATAACCCAGCACTGAAATGCTTCCCTAGCATATATGGTATTCTTCGTCCAATCTCCAGCACTATGAAGAAGTAAGAGGGAGGGTAACAAAATAAGGAAATTTGAACACATACTGCATTTTGATTTTCATTACTAGTTGAGGTTAAAAATACGTAATCCGGTAGAGTTAGTATTCTTTAGAACTTATTTTCAGTATTGGTAGTTTTCTGTGAGCTCCATACTTGCAAGTTACCTCAATTACAAATTTCTATTTGATACTTAATTAAAAACACTTTTAAAATCTTATATATTCATTTTAAAATTTTATATATTCACTGTACTTGATACTATGCTACATAAGGATACTTTTACAGCACCAACTATACATCATATGTTGGGCATACTCTTTCCCATATACCTCCCACCCTCCCCTTTCTCTTTCCGCCCTTGCTAGTAGTCCTCTTTGTTCCTTTCCCTCTTCTGCGTTCATGTCATATAGACATGAATATTTTAAGTGTCTGTAAAATCTAGATGCAACAAATGAGAGAATACATACAGTGTCTGGTGTTGGCTTCATTCACTTAGTAAGATTATCTCCAGTTGCATCCATATTTCTGTAAACAATGTAACTATTATTTAGGCTGAAAAAATTCCTCACACTGCTTGTTTTATATTTTCATTATTTCTGTAGTTGGTCCTGTAACTAGCTCTTGAACAATTGCCGAGTACAAGTATCTCAGATACATTGGACTGCCATACGGGGGCTGGAGAGATGGCTCAGAGGTCACAACATTTGTTCTTGTAGAGAACCAAGGTTTGATTCACAGCTCCCACATGGCCACTCACAAACATCCGCAACTCCAATTCCAGGATACATATGATATAGACATACATTTGTGCAAAAACACTTATATACATAACATTAAGTAAATAAGTCTTAAAAACATGCTATATTGACTTCTGTAGTGGCAGGACTAGTTTAAATTCCCACCAGCAGCATATAATGGTTCCTTTTTGTTCACATCCTTCGAAATATTTGATACTTCTTCATGATTGCCATTCTGATGCGAAATAAAATTACAATTTCATTTTAGTTTGTATTTCTCTGATGGCTAGTAAAGTTGGATAGTTTATGTATGTTCATTATCCATTTATATTGATATATATATGTTCATTAGTCATTTATATCATCTTCTGTAAGCAGTTTATTTCCTTATCCCATTATGTAATAGGGTTCTTTGAGTTTGGGGGTTTAATTATTTTGAGTTCTTTGTATATTCTAGTTCTTAGTCCTCTGTCAGATGTATTCTGCTTAATATTTTTATAATGTTCTTTGGGATTCAAACCTTTGAGAGTCTGGTCTTATATTTTTGGTTGTGAACCTAGCTTTAACGGTTGAGCCATCTCTCCAGCTTTGAGAGTAGGTCTTTAACCTGCTCTTTTTGAAAATTAAATTTATTATTTGACAATCTCATACACACACATACTGCATTCTGACAACTCTTACTTCCAACAGCTCTCTCTAATCCTTTCTACCATTGTCAAACCCTACCCCAGCCCCATTGTTGTGACCCACTTATCTGTCTGTGTGGGTGTAGCTGTGGAACATGGTGTTCTCACCAGTGGCTGCACAGCCGAACACATCTGCTCCCCTTGTCTTAGCATGTATAAATAGCCAACTATTTCCCAGTGATGGGTAGAGCTCTATGAGCTCCTCTTCTATCCGTTTCTTAACACCAACAGGTTCAGTCTTGTGCAGGGTTAGTGCAAACAGCTGCAACTGCCATTGTTTGTGAATCTCATGGCCTAGCATTTCACAGCTCTCTTCTTTGTCATCTGGCTTTTACATCCTTCTGTTCCCATTTCTGTGATACTCCCTGTAGTACTATAGCACTTTGGGCACTGTGTAGGCCAGCCAACAGGGAGGAAGCTTCCAGTTAAGTTCCAGCTTGAGTCCTCCAGGTCTTGTAACCAAATTGTGTGCTATCTTCAGCAATAGGTTATCATCATCTAGTTCTGGAGGGCAACCAGGAACAATTGCAATAGCCTGTGTTATTTCTGGGTTTCTGAGCCTTCTTAACCAACTTTTATAGGGAGGTATCACACATTTGGCAATGGGGGAGTTTTGTTTGATCGCCATGACTTCTGAGATCAGCATTTTTCACTCATGTAGAATACCTTTGTGTCGATGCTTTAAAAACACTACAGTTATGTACTCTTTGTTCATGTGTGTGGACACCTTGATGGAGTCCGTTCTTTTTACTATGCAGATTCTGGGGATTTAATTCAAATCATCAAGCTTGGCTGCAGGGACCTTTTCATGTTGTACCATGTCACTGACTTCAATACAGTTGCATAGGATGTAGCATGGGGAGTAGTAGGTTCCGTATGTCTTCTTATACCCTTAGTTTTGATTAACCCTCTCCCTCCTGTTTCTCCTTTCTCCTGCCCCCCCCCTTTTCCCATTTCATCCTAACCACAATATCCCCACGCCCCTTAACTTCGTATGTTCTATCTTTTAAGCACTGTTGTTTCTTGCATGTTTCTACTTGCTCCTTTTTAATATTTATTAACTTTTCCTCCCAAATGTCTAATAATATTTCAAAACTAAAAAAATAGTGTCATTGAACCTTTTCATGTAATGTTCCTTACTGTTTCCATTTAGAGTTAGTTGCTCAGGTTTCTGAGAAATATATAATGTACTGGTAAAAGTGTGTACATGAAAAGTTAACCACTCCAAAACTCTTAGTTAAGATAAAGTAACATTTTTTTCTGTAATACCAAATTTATTTGTAAGTATAGTAGCATTGTTTTCTAAGTTTTATGTACTGTGATTAAATATTTTGCTTATTGCTGTTTAGGGGTTTACTAATTGGAATAAGAGAGACTTTAATCAGTTTATCAAAGCTAATGAGAAGTGGGGTCGTGATGATATTGAAAATATAGCCAGAGAAGTAGAAGGAAAAACTCCAGAGGAAGTCATTGAATACTCAGGTAATACTTCACTATTTTAAAAGAGGAATGTTAGCACTCTTTGAGAGTTGAGTAGAGGTTTTTGGAAGCTTCCTGTTTTCTTTCTTATGTTTTCCCCCCCTTTCTTCCATTTATTTTAATTTATATGCTTACAGCTGTGTTTTGGGAAAGATGCAATGAGCTCCAGGACATAGAGAAGATTATGGCTCAGATTGAAAGGGGAGAGGCAAGAATTCAAAGAAGAATAAGTATCAAGAAAGCACTAGATACAAAGGTATTTTGTATATTCATAAGTACAGTAGATAGTATAACTCCAATTTGAATATGAGATAACCATGTTAAAGGAAAAAAATTACTGTTTAAAATTAAACTTCCTAAAAACAAAACATAACTTTTGTTAACATAGTTTAAAGGTGCTGGACTCAGCTTCTGCCTAAGTCATGTCAGGAAGGTTAGACCTCATTTTCTCTCAGTAACAATAGTGGAAAACTATAAAGTACTATAAGACAACGGGCAGAAGAGGCTCCCTAAATGGAAATACATTTATGGTTAATTATAATAAGGCTGGAGTAAGTTTGAAGTGTGGATTACATAGGACTTGTATTTCATCTCATATATTTAAATACAACTTTTATAGATTGGAAGGTACAAAGCTCCCTTTCATCAGCTAAGAATATCATATGGTACTAACAAAGGGAAAAACTACACCGAAGAAGAGGACCGTTTTCTCATTTGTATGCTGCACAAGCTTGGATTTGACAAGGAAAACGTTTATGATGAGTTACGGCAATGTATTCGAAACTCCCCTCAGTTCAGATTTGATTGGTTTCTCAAGTCCAGAACTGCAATGGTGAGTATCCAGGGTTTTTTCTGTAAGGCAGCAGGGTTCAGAATAAGTATAGTCAGTATTTGTTAATTTCTAAAAACACCCCTGAAGTAGAATTTTATTTAGTTTCAGAAATTAAATAATTTCCTCTATTTTTCTCAGCCAGTTTGAAAATTTAGAGGTAATTTGAAAAGGCTTGATGATTCACACCTTTAATCCCAGCACTGGGAGGGCCGAGGCAAGTGGATCTCAATGAGTTTCAGGACAGCCAGAGCTGTTACCCAGAGAAACTCTGTCTTGAGCCATGCCTCTCCCTTAAAAAAAAGAAAGCTGTCCCCTTTAATATTTTATATTTTAATATTGCTTTATACAATAGTATTAGCTTTTGCTACTAGTTTTAGTTGTTCTAAATAAGGAGAAAAGTTACCATCAAGTTCACCTTCTGAACATGATGACTTTTGGGTTTGTAAGTAGACAGAGTTCTGTAGAGAAAAATGTTCTTCAGGCATCTGTCTGCCCATTAGGATGCTGAATCTAGGTTCTTTTAAATGGCTGATTGGTATTCTTTATACTGACGAAGACAAGATTTAGTTTGTAGTCCTGTCAGACTGTTTCTAACAAGAGGTATTCATTTCTAACAATCTCAAATCAGATTTCAAGAAAAGCTTTGGATTGCTCCTTTTCTTCTATATTTCACCTCTGACCTTTGTTTATTGGAGTAATGAAAGTACAAAGATTGAGTAGTCTTAAGTTTAAATATACAGCAGTTGGCAAAGTATATGCATTTGAATATCTTGCTAAATACATAGCCATGGATGGTTTGTGGTATTTTCACAATTTACCACTGAAAAATACATTTTTTTCACTAGATACAAAAAGGACTGCAGTTTATGCATCTGTAATATAAGTGTATAGTTGGTTGAAAGATTTCAGCTGATAATAAAGTCTCCTATGGTTCTTTTATGTGAGGTATTGTTTTCACATAGTTAGTAGGAGTAATCTTGTAGTAATAGTAATGAGATAGTGTCACATACCACATAAACCGGTTCTGAAACTGCCTTATTTCCTAATATGCATATGTTAAGGTACACAAAATAGTCAAATATATATAGGCTTTTGTGATGAATAGTTGAGGCATAATCTTGCCCAGGAGTTTAAAGGATTCAGTGTGCATCAGTGTGTGCTGTAGTGCACCTATCAAAAACTGTGTGCAGCAAGCAGAGTGGTCGATGTGCTGCATGGTACTTACTGTTTAAAGGAAACACAACTTTGTTATTGCCTTCTACCTCTGTTGTTGGAAGTAATACTAAGCCATGGATGGAGTTCCTACCAAGTAGTTTAGAAGTATTATTATTACTTTGTTTTTCAATACAGGGTTTCTTTGTCTAGCCTTAGCTGTCCTGGTAGACCAGGCTGGCCTGGAACTCAAAGAGATCCATCCACCTGCCTCTGCCTCCTGAGTGCTGGGATTAAAGGCATGCCAGCACCATCTGACATTCAGAATTATTTGTACTGTGGTTGTCTGTGTAGAAGTTTTACTTACATATAAGAGACTAAACAAACAAACAAACCATGTTTGTTCTGTAAGGAAATGAGCTGCTAGCAAACAGTGATGCAAATGGATTTTACCTCACTGAGTAGTACATAGATTGGTAGAGAAAGGAGGTAGACAAAACTCATTATGAACTTCATAGCTGTGTGTGTATCACTGCTATCAACTAAGATGCTAATGCTTTTAAAGAAAAGACTGATTTTCGTCTCTTAAGTTCTAGGTACTTTTGTTTTTGAATTCTGTATGTTAACCTTTAAATATAAGTAGTCCAGAGTTCCTGAGCTTTGAGTAGTTTTTGTATATGTTGATGTTCATTGTCACTGTGTTAGTACCTAAATGATCAATAGATTAATGGTGTGTGGAGAGTATACATTAGTATGGAGCTTTACTATTTACCTGTCTATTGGCAGATACACTGAGCTACATCCCCAGCCATATGTTAGTGCAGCTTTAAAGAATCAAGTATAAACACTAAATATTTGCTCTTTGTATCCTCATAGCATGGTCTGTGAGTAAAAAATAATTTCGTTTTGCTTGTTTTTATTAGTCTATTAGAATATATGGGTGTTTTTTTTTTTGTTTTGTTTTGTTTTTTTTTTTTTTTTTTTTTGTTTTTTGGACAAGGTGTTTTTTTGGGTT